CAGTTTTTATATGTAATTCTTATGTGTTTTTGGCTTGTTGGGCAGAAAAGACATTTAAGCAAAGACTGTTCTTCAGTATATGTTTAGCTAGAATAATTATAATAAATCATAAAAAAATAAAACAATGACTCATAAATGTTTTAGTGTGAGTGACCACCTATGATAAATCAGCTGGTGCCTGCAGGGTTGAGTTGTGTGGAGTCAGCGTTTCTTCGGCACCTGCAGACAGTTGCATCCGTATTGTTATACTTTTTGTATTTATACACACTGTCTATGTATTTTGGCACCTATGACGAATGGAAACTGCTTCTTTGGATAATACATTTTTGAAATATCCATAAATTTATAGAGTCTCTGGAGGTAGACACGTTAGAACTCTCCAAGGGCATTTGGATAATATATATAAGAGAATCTAGATTCATGTTTCAAACACATACCATAGTGTAGACACACTGTACTGACTCTGCAGATTTGCAACATGTTTGACAGATTTAATCCCGCATCACACATGACCACCTCCCAGTCCATTCATCTCAGTGGGTGGCCGAGGACTATCTCCACTTTTAATAACACTCTCCACTTGGTTACCAGTCGCTGCAGAGAGATCAGCGAGCATGTGTCACCTGACTGTGGTGTAAACCCGGCGTGGGAGTGCTTTTATAGGCCGACACTGAAAAGCAGGTGGTTCTAACTCCTAAAGCCTGAAAACAAAGCAGGCATCAGAACTGTGGGTTAAGGGCAAAGACAAATTGTGATTTGTCCAAATCAACCTGGATACAATTGACGTCATAGGAGGAATGGTAATTGTGAAGCAATATCCAGTGTAGTTTTTAAAAGGTTTTGTATTTCTATACAGTCTATAATGTGAAATCATCATCTTTTCAATCTCACTTATATTCTCCTTTGTGTTGGTCACAATTAGCAGAGTTGTGTTACTTTAAAGGCCTCAGTGAGTTCAGGAAATCCTGTCTCTCACTTCGTCTTATGACTTCAAACTGAATGACCTGTGAGGTGGACGTTGTTTTTTTTTTCTTTGCACCCTTTGTGCTCTACTTGGAAACTGCTGGATCAGCACCAGGAGAAGCCAGAACGGATCTGTGTGTGATAAAGCTTCCAGCAGTTCAAACATTGGCTGAGCTCAGCAGCTCTGTTACTGATTTGCAGCACCTCCTGTTTACCCGTCGTGTGCACCTTCTACTGTGTGCATATCATATCATCAGATTTTTTTTATTCTTCCGTTTTGGCAGATTAACATGCATAATATAATCTATCATATCCTGTCACAGGATATTAGAGTATTATGGTTTCTTATCAAACATGTCTGCAGGCTGTGTTTACGATGGGCTTTTTTCTACTATTGTTCTTTTTGTCTGTGACGTCAATACAACTTTGACTTGTTTGGTTATTGCATTGGCTGTTGACGCAAACTCATGAGATGCTGCTGAGAATCCCTCACTCTTTATGTCCTGGTCTTTGTAATGAAGCTCTTACACCACTAGGTGGCTCACACGCCCCCCCCCCCCCCCCCCCCCCCCCCCCCCCCCCCGCACTCATGAACTCTTATCTAAAGTAAAGATGTTTTGTTTCTATTATTTTGTTTCTATCAGATTTTTTACATTCACACAAATATGTGAACTTCAGGATTGTGCAGCAGCTTTTTGTGTGTGCTTCTGTTTCTGATCACTGATATATTTGTATCAAAATAATTGGGACTCACCGATTGGAAGTACTTTCTATTTATCATTTACTGATTTATAAATTGCTTATACATAATCAAAGGGTGGAGTCAAGTCACCGATAAAATCTAATTAATGACACTTTCTGATAAACCATTAAGTTATAAATGTTAATCGATCATTACTGAAAAGGTCCAACACACTGTACAGAAAACAACATATACTGTATTTGTTGTGTGGACAGTGGATATTGTTGAATAGCTCAAGCGTTTTTTTTCCGCCACAGGCCGCCGCCTGAGGACAAAGGCTGCTCACATACTGTGGGTCCTCGTTGGGGAATTCTCCTGAATCATCAGTTGGCTTTTTTTTTGCCACCTTTTTTTCGAGGCTTTACCGTCACAAACCAGATGTGAGCACCCATCGCACAGCCTGGGCCCTCAGCAACTGTTTACCAGTTACATGGTGCAAAAAAATCTGCCAAGTTTCCAGGAAACATGCATTTCCCTAGAAGATGGATGCACATTTTTTGACGACTTTGTTTTTTAGTGGGCCATTAGTTGGTTTCTACTTGTCAACAAACAAATAGCAATACAAATGCTCCCCTGAGGATGAGCCCCATAAGGAACCACTGTCACAAGATTCAAATATCGAGGATGTTTTATTCCTCTGTACTTCATCACGTTTTGTTTTGTAAAATCAGGAAACGAACTCACACCCATTCTGCTGCAGTGTGTGCTTTTATTTGCAGGTGAGGTCGAGTGGAAGAGGATGAGTACTGAGTAAGGTGCGGCGTCTAAAAGTCCACAACGCGTCTAATGGAGCCCAGAGATGGATGGAGAGCCCCCCACTCTGCGTGTCGCCTGTACTCGCCCTTTTCCAGCAGGTACTGGCGCCCCCTGTAGTTCGGATGCTCATAGAAGACCCAGACGCCATCCTGGACTTGCGCCGAGTGGACGTCCCGGTAGCGCCAGCGGTCCATCAGATTGGGCAGGTCTTCGCTGAACTCTATCATCTGGCCGCTGAAGTCCGGACGTTCATAGATGCGGATCCTGTGCCTGCTGGAAGGCTGGAGCATAAAACGAAAAAAATCTTTGACAAACTATTTCCTTTTGTTTCCAGGCTTCATGCTAAGTTAACTGTCTGGTGGCTCTTTAATTAATCTTGCAATGTAGTCAGATAAGTTAAACCTAAACCAGGCTACGCTTACAAATCAAGCGATATACCAGAACTTACATATCGAACAAGGCGACAGGAGCGGATGGTGTCATTGAAGCCGTTCCAGCTCTGGTAGTTGGGGTATTCACCCCTCATGAGGACGTACTGGTAACCCATGAACTGGGGTCTCTCATAGATGACCCAGGCCCCACTCTCAACCCTGATGGAGTTACAGTGGCTGAAGTGGGAGCTGAGCTCGGCACAGTCACTGCTGCATTCGTAGTAGCGACCCTGAAAGTTCTTGTCCTCGTAGAAGAAGATCTGCAAGAGGCAGTCAGCAAATTGAACATAATCGACAAGAATAAGAACCAAGAGGAAATATCAAAGGACAATGAGGCTTCTACCGCCTGTTACTGGCAAGACGTGTAAATGATGAATAATGATGCATTTGTGATAATATGTGATAAAATGCCAGATGTTGTGGTTTCAGTGTTCTGTATTTTCAGTTTTTCTCAAAATGTCACTTGTGTTACTTTTCTACGTGAGATCAGGGGAACAAATAACAAATCGACACTTTTCATTTCAAGAAAAATGAAGAAATCTTCCCACTTTGACTCGTGATGCGACTTCACAAACAGCATTACATTATCATGACATTCTAGAGCTGCAGCACTCACCTTCCCTGAGCGCTCCATTATCACCTTATGTTTCTCTTCGCCCAAATCAAATTAAATCCACCCACTCACACTGATGCATCAGTCGAGGACCACTTTTATATCACGGCAGATGAAATGCATCGCCAGGGGAACAATTGTCATTCAAATGAGCACCACATTAACTTTGGCACATTAGCTGATGCTGCAATTGTTTTAGTTCACGGCCTTTATATGTGATGGTGCAGAAATTTTGAATGAAGGCTGTTTAACTGTTTAACTAAATTTCAATTTCATTTTTCACAATGCATTTAATATCTAATAATTGATCTATTTTAGTTTCATTTTCTTCCACCTTGTACCTGGTACAATAAGGTCAGAAGAGCATGATCCAGATCCCCCACATATGTGTGTTATAATACAGAGTTTCCCTTTCTTTTCTGCAGTATCTGGAGGAACTGAGGTTGAGTAATGAGACCACATACAAGGCACAAAATATCTCTCGGAGAATCAACTCTGATGAGACAGAGAAAAGATGAGATTAAACCAGATTAAATCACTTTAAAAAATAACTAAAGATCTAAAGCCAATACATTTTATTATATATCATATTTTTACATTAATGTATTCAAATCCAAAGTTTATTTACAACATTATTTCCATGCTTTTCCACTTTATCTCATGATTTCATCAGAATTTGAGTTTCTGACCACATGACTGGAGTTGCATACTAAGGTTGCGTGAGAGCAACCAATGCCGTAGATTACCCACAATGCTCAGTGACTAAAGCGCATGTGCAGGTCATCTTTGTCCAATCAAACCTGGGAGATTCTGGACTCGTCCAAGAAGAAATACAAACCTAGCTGAACTTTTAAAGGCACATTCATTCCTTTACACACTTTTATCTTTATCTCGGAAAATATTGCAACCGCTGTTTTGTGCTATATTGAACACACACATTTTACATATCAATATCAACGGGGTCGGTGTCATATAAAACATTAAGCAGCAGCCTCCAATATTCTCTTCATACAGGACAAGACAATAAAACTGAGCACATGGCTTCCTCTGTGTGAATTGGATTATTCAATCAGCCATTCAAATATTTATCCAGGCTCATCACATTGTCCTGATGCAGTCGATCCCGTTTCCCTAAACAAAGCAAACGCAAAGTGCGAAGCGTTCCAAAGCCGCTGGACGCAGCAGAGCGAGCCGACGAAAACAACGGCAGCGCAGGACGCTTGGTTTGATACGAAACGTGTTGAGCTGAGTCAGTGGCTCAGCAGGAAGGCACCAGACACTTTACAGGAGACACTGATTCATGATTTTATCATACATGACTACTTCATACTGAACAAGCTGGGTTCTTGCTGTTGCAAACTCTTGTTTAACAAGTCGAATAAAGTAAACGAGGGTTACCAACTTGTCAAGTTGCAGTTTACATCCATGTTTGTGAAGAATTTGAAGGAATTTAGTAAAAACTTCAAATTTTTTGTTGATATGATTTGATTTTGACTGAATGTTTCATAGTGTTGAGTGCTGCAGTCATTATATCAGCAGGACTTTACACTTTATCTTAATGAATGACAACAGGAAACGTGTACTGTATTTATGAAAATGGAAGAAAAATATGTATGTTTTATATCAAAAATCGTTAAAAAAGTTATTCTCTGCGAGCAAGTGGTCGACTGTGAGGAAGATGCAATGAACCCAAAACTTATTTAATAATTTAAAAACCAATTACCAGCTTCCATCTCCACACACAATGTTCCTGGTTGTTGCTCAGAAAAGGCAGAGGACACGTTTTAATTTCTGTTTTCATGCCATCATGCATGCATTTGACCTTGGTTCTTTTGAATAAAAACCTCAGGTCATATTTATTTTGTAAGGTAGTTAGGAAAGGTAGCAGACAATTATTATGTTTCATAAAGAGATAATTACCCTGTGATCACAAAACATGGCTTTATCTCCCAAAGATGCTATAGTCTTTTATATAGTTGGTGGTCAAACATGAGATATATTCACAGAAAAACCAAAAGAACACAGTCAGAGTTTGCTTTTGCTCATTTATTGATTGAAAGGGTCCCGAATCACCGTCTTGGTCTGAATACAAGGTTAAAAGAGTTAAAACTCTGTGATCCTGCGGAAGGAGCCGACACCAGGTGAGGACGCCCCCCAGTCGCTGTGCTGCGGGTACTCGCCCCGCTCGAGGAGGTACTGGTGTCCCCTGTAGTTGGGGAGGTCGTAGAAGACCCAGGCGCCATCGGTGACCATGCAGGAGTACGCCTCACGCAGCTTGTAGGTGTCGTACACTGACGGGCAATCGTCAGAGCACTCCACCATCTGCCCTCCGAAGTCTGGCCTCTCGTACAGCCTCAGCTTCCATGAACTGCCGTAAATCTGAAAGGTGTGGAATGACATTTTATATTACAAGTGCTCCCAAAAATGTTCCTCCAAGAACTAACCAAAAGAGTTTTTATTTTGTGGACTGCGCGAAGTACGAAACTTTAATAAAAATGTAAATTTTTGTTCAAGAAAATGGAACATGACTACTGCACGAAACAAGGGGGAAGAAAAATCTGGTTCATGGGAATTTTATTGTCAAAAAACAAAGTAGGCTAACTTTTAGCGATGTCAAATACCCTGAATACATTGTGGCCTTGTAAATTGAGTGTGTTAGGGAGCCATTGCTGGTAGCAAAATAAAATGCATTGGGAGAAATCTTACTAGCCACCTACTGAATCAAAGTCCTTTCTGCTCTGTTTTGGTCTCCATCAACTCCTACAAGCCAGATTCTCAAGTGTAATTGCAATATTGACCCTCCATGTTTTGGTCTGAGAGGTGTTGGTGGAGACCAAAAAGGAGCTAAAAGAAAGCATTTGTGTGGAGTCGAAACCCCATATTCACACTCCTTGTAACTTTGTTTTGGTCACCACCGACACTTAAGAAGCACATCTAAAGCCCTTTAACTTATAAATGCAACACCAGGTTCTAGATTTGGCCTCATTCTGAGTGTGCACATTTCCCTTTAACAATTTCTTGGCCAACTTGCAACCAAAAGCTGCAACTTGCTGCCAAACACGCTCACTATTGTCTGCTTGGTTGGTCTGTTGGCTTCACAGTGTTCACAAAGCTCCGTCCGGTGCCATTGTGCATTCCTGTCTTCTGTGCACTACCCAAACATACTTTCTGTTACTTCTCTGACTCTACCGTGACTCTAGTTGGTCCAGATCCCTCAAGAAACCCGAATGAGGACTCTTACGTTCTTTATGGCACGGCAGGACTTGACGCTGTCGCTGAACGCCATCCATTGCTGGCTGTCGCCGTACTCCCCGGGGCTGAGGATGTACTGGAAACCCTTGTAGTTGGGTCTCTCGTAGATCACCCACACACCACTCTCCACTCGGATGGAGTTGCAGCGGTTGAAGTACGTGTGCAGGTCGACACAGTCGCTGCTGCAGTTGTAGCAGCGTCCCTGGAACTTCTTGTCCTCGAAAAATGTGATCTGTGGGTGAAAGGTAAGAAATGTGAGCATTTTCTGAAAACACAGAACAAATGTCTTTCAAAGTTCAGCGGCTGTTGAAAGCTTTAATCTTACCTTCCCCATTTGGACGCACTGTAAACCTCATTCTTCACTGCAGCCCCATCATAGTATTTATTGATAAACAAAATGTGCAGAGCAGGGCAAGTCTTTGATACCCAAATGAGGCAGATCTACATTTCAGCAAAATGGCTTGGTGCTGTTTGATTTGCCTTTGTTCCAGTCTGATGATGACACGGTATCAAACACATGCTGGAACAGTGAAGGCAGAAACGGAGCAGTGTCAGACAGCGATGGAAAGAAAGTGAGTTAGTTTAAAAAAATAAGAACATATCGTGGTTTCATGTAACGAGTTTAACATCTAGTGGAATTTGGTTTCAATCCTTACTGAGAAAAATGAGATTTGAGACATAGGGACACGTTGTTTCATATGAGAAATTAGACTTGAATTTAGACAAATACAATGAAAACCGCTCCATATGGAATTGCTAAAAGCTTATTTATTAGTTTCAGGGACGACCTACTGAATGGCAATATTCATTTTTGCATAATGTCTGTTTCCATTCAAATTCTTTTTGGTAAATGCAAAGCCAGACAATCGTAGCTCGTGGATTCTGTGAGTTTTCTTCCAGGTTGATCCAGAACAACCCGAAGCCTCTTCACACCTCTGTAATGGCCGATCGGCTCAAAATCTTTGACCTTCAACATGCAAGTCAAGGTAGAAATGCTTCAGTTTTTAGAATAATGTAATGAAGAGTTTTTAGAGACTTTTTATTGAGGACGTACAAGTCATACCTTTAAAAGTAAAAAAACTATAACTTTAGGTTTTCGGGTTTGCAACATTTTCAGCACTCACTGCTTTTAATGCACAGGTCCGTCCTGTGCACATTAAGGTTTTTCTACATTATCCAGGCCGTTTGTTTCAGTTCAATCGGAAAATCAACTTGCAAGATCCTGACCAAAGTCAGATATTGAACTTTTCTATTGGAACAAACAACGTCTTTATCCTTTTTTGCAATCTTCCTTTTTATGCATTATTTAGACCGCTGGGTTTTCTAACGACAAAACTTCCATAGCTCACTCTCCAATACTGTGTATCTGTTCCCTTAAACACACATGGAACAAGGACAAACAAGGTAAAGCAGTTATATACAAACATAAAATAGCTACTACATGTCCACTTATGGATGGACATGAGGGGCTGGGACTCAACCTGTAGGAGTCGCTCTTTTCTTTGCAAAAGTTTTTATACTCAACTAAAATGAAGAGCAGACATCAGACACATTTGATTTCAGCCTTGTTTTATTTGTTCACATGTGGCACAAGCAGAGTTTGAATTAACAGGAGTCTATGATGCGTCTGATGGAGCTCAACCTTGACATGTTGCTCATCCCCAGCTCTCGCAGGTTCCTGTGCTCTCCTGGCCGAAGGTACAGCATCCGGCCTCTGTAGTTGGGCTGCTCGAACATCAGCCAGTGGCCGTCCATCACGTTGCAGGATTGGAAGTCGGCCGTCTGGAAACGATCCATCGTGTTGTCACAGTCGTCCATCAGCTCGTGCATCTGGCCACCGAAGTTCTCCTTCTCATAGATCCTCATGCGGAAGGGTCCCCTGTGCTGTGGGTGCAGAAACATCAGGGGAATGAAGAGTCAACTGATCCACACGTGACAGCTTTAGTTGAATACTTGTGTAATAAGATCAAGTGCAGAAACCAACCCTAAGAAAAAACATCACAAATCGATAAGCTATCTCAAGAAACATTCTCCATCTAGAGAAAGTTTTACATATTTTTGCATAAAAAGTGCATCAGGGGGAAAGAGAAGATATCCTTAATCGAAGGGTCACAGATTTCCATGTTTTGGCTTTTAGCAGAATCTTGTGGCCTCTGTGATGAGCAGCTTCTATTTGCTAAAAATGGAAAGCGTTGTTTTTGTCATCAATTCACAAGCCTTCTAGTCGAATTATCTGAGCCTTAAAGCAACTCTGCATCTTAAACCCCATCCACGTACCGTGGGGATCATGCGACAGGACTTGATGCAGTCGCTCATACTCGTCCCCATCAGGCGCTGGTTGTCTGGGTACTCGCCCCTCCTCGCCAGCATCTGATGGCCCGTGAAGTTGGGCTTCTCATAGACCATGAAGAGGCCGCACTCCACACGGCAGGAGTTGCACCTGGTCAGGAAGGAGGTCAGCTCGGGGCAGTCGCTGCCTGTCTCGTAGGAGCGGCCCTGGAAGTTCCGGTCCTCATAGAATATGATCTACATGAAAAACCAACACTCATGTGAGCTCAAAGCAGCACATCTACACTCAGCAGTGATTTCTCTCTAAAAAATCTTCTCATTGTGCCAGAGATGTTTTGAAAGTTTCACTTACCCTTCCCATCGTCATGATTAGCGAGTTAATCTCAGATGTACAGCTTCCACATCGACCCTTTTCCCTTTTTATACATTGCACAGCCGTAGTATTTCCACATGGCTTGTGCTGAAACCTTTGAGTCATCACTCTATATTGTAGCACAGAGCAGCACTATAGGGTGGCACACTTTACTGTACATCAGAATGTTCAATAATAACTCAGGACTGAATGCTGGAGTTTATGTTTCGCTTCCAGCAGCTTCACATATTTTATACATACTGTATTATATTATCTATAATAAAGATATGTGGCTTGAATATCAGAAGTTAAAGATGAACTTTGTCGAAACACTGACGACATTTAAGAAATTGCACAAAACCCTTTAGATTCCACAGAATAACGATGTCCCGACCTCGAATCATTTAAAATAAAACTAAATTAATAATGGTTTATATACCATTTTGCTTTGTTTTGACCTGACCTCAAACTAAACAACATACAACAATAACTATTCATGTGTGGTGTAAAATGAATGCGGCCCCACGTGAGCCTGGTGCTGACTCAGAATGTTCACACAAAGGTGTGTGAGGTGGTCTGCTGCTCAGCCCGTATAAAAGAGACACTCGGATGCTGTCACTTAGGAAAAAGTGAAACCGTCACCATGGGCAGGGTAATGCTCCTCAGGTGTTTGTGAAATGTCGAAAAATCCAGAGCTTAAAAATTGTTTAATAGATGCAAACTGTTTCTGTAAAGTTGTTTCCGTCGAGTAATAAAACTTCGCTGACTTCTCATGACATGTTTCTTTGCTGCAGATTATCTTCTACGAGGAAAAGAGCTTCCAGGGTCGCTCCTATGAGTGCAGCAGCGACTGCTCTGACATCCACATGCACCTGAGCCGCTGCAACTCCATCAGAGTGGACAACGGGTGCTTTGTGGTGTTCGACCGCACCAACTTCATGGGAAACCAGGCCTTCCTGCGCAGAGGGGAGTACTCCGACATCCAGCGCATGGGCAGCATGATGGGCATGACAGGCATGATGGGTGTGACCATGATGGACACCATTCGCTCCTGCCGCATGATCCCAATGGTAAGATGTTTGGAGCTCATGTTTGGTGTGAGTTAACGTGTGTGATCCAGAACACGGGAGGTGCTGGAGAAAACAACGCAATCACGTCTCGTCTTCCTCCAACAGCACAGGGGACAGTTCAGGATGAAGATCTGGGAGAGGGAGAACTTCTCAGGCCAGATGCACGAGGTGATTGACGACTGCGAGTCCCTGCAGGACCGCTACTTCATGTCCGACTGCCAGTCCTGCAACGTCATGGACGGCCACTGGCTGATGTTCGAGCAGCCCAACTTCAGGGGACGCATGATCTACGTGAGGCCCGGGGAGCACAGGAACTTCCGGGAGACCAGCAACGTGATGCGAGTCAGCTCCATCCGTCGCATCATGGACATGTGCTGATTGTCACTCATTGTAACAAACTGTAGGTGGAAAATAAACCATATTTTCAATTATCTCTTTTGCTTTATTTGATTCTTTGCAGTAAACATCACAATATAAATATAGTCCTCAACTTATCTAATGTAGCCTGGTATGCTAGTGCAGCTAGTAAATTGAATATAATTTAATTTCTTAAATCTTTATATACACGATAAATACTAGTATAATTCTGCTGCACATTCATTTTTATTTTATTGACTTTCTGATCAACACTCAGTACTGATGGTCCATAATACTTTTAGGATTGTAGTATCTGAATCACAGCTACTTCAACACAAAATATCATGGAGCGTATATATAAACATGTTAATCATGATATAACACTAATGGATATTTACAGTGTATCCTTAAAACTAACTAGATAAAATAACAAGATGCTGTTTTTTTATTATTTTTTCATTATTTCTGGTTTTCAGTTCGGTTTTGGTTCAGTCTCCAACACCAATGATATATGTGCGTCACTGGAACCACCTGATGATTTAAAATGGAGATTAAATCTCCTTCAGAGCGTGAACATACTCAACAGGTTCCGTGACAACCTGCATGTTCCATTCTGAGATCCCTGGTGTGCAAAGCTGATATTCTATCAAGAGGAAGGGTAGATCCTCTGAGGAGCATGCTGGGAAAATACCATAGCAAAAAGCACACGGTTTTTCTCTTCTAGTCTTATCCACCACTTTACAGTGTGAACCATAAACTGCCTGCTCTCTTTTTTACCCCTAACCCACAATCAGGGTTAGAGGACACTTTAAAAAGCAACATGGAAGAACTGGGGTTCAGACCACTAACCTTCTGGTCAGTGGACGACCTGCTCTACCCCCAGAGCCCGGTATCCCATGATGCAGAGCTGATTTCATTCTGTATGAGGAGAAGTTTTGGTCTGACTGTAAAACAAATCGGAAAAGTGGAGGCCGATAAAAATATCTGACAGGGGCCATATTTAATATGAACATCAAAGCTCATGTTTGTCTTCAGAACCTTAAAGCAATGTGAGGTTATCAGTCAGGGGACAGTTTGTGATAAATATGATGCCATATTCTGAAACTGAAAAAAGGTTGAGGACCAATAAGTTTTTTGATCAGAGCTGCAGAATCAAATGCAACAAAAATAACTGCAACAGGAATGAAAGTTTCAAAACTCAAGGTCCAAAGTGTCACAACTTTCTTCCTCCTACGTACGTGCACCAGAGGAACCATTGACAAGGTGTCAAACCTGATGCAAATCTGGAACAGTGACCAATTTGAAACAGAGTAAAAAGAGCACTGAAGAAAAATTCAAATACAGAAACAATTTTTTCTTCATTTTCATTTTCACTCAAAACATTATGCATAAGACTTGGAAACGTTTTCAACCATGCAAAACCTTGTTTTATGAGACAGTAGTAACAAAAATCCAGAGTGCACTGAACAGAGGGAAAGTTATGAGTGCAACTTTTCATATTTCTTCTGTCAAAATGTTCAAATATCAGCTTCTGATTCAGTCATGCATCTGTCTTCATGTAACAGTGTCTGTGTCATTGTGTCCTGTGATGAAAATAATGGTGCAGAAAATACAAAAGTTTTGCAAAAACTAGAGTTTGCTTTGTTTTTGTGAAATCCACAGCACTACAGTTTAATTGGAGTGAGTGCAGAGTTCACAGCTTTGATGTATAATGCAGCAGCGACCACGCAGATAAGCTGACTCGCTCATTTCATACAATCGAGGGGCAGATTTTTTTCATGTCACATGATGCATAAAAGGCAGCACAGCCGTGAGAAGAACAACACAAATCAAATAGCTTGACCATGAGCGGAAAGGTAACGTGTGTGGCTGATGCAACGAACTTTGACCAAAACACTGCAGCAAATAACTTCTGCAATGAAACACAAACCCAATCTGTGTCTTTCCCTCTAGATCATCTTCTTCGAGGAGAGAAACTTCCAGGGCAGCTCGTATGAGTGCGTCAGTGACTGCTCTGAGATCTCCTCACACCTGAGCCGCTGCAGCTCCTGCAGGGTGGAGAGTGGGACGTTCATGGTCTACGACCAGCCCAACTTCACGGGGCAGCAGTACCTCCTGACCAAGGGAGAGTATCCTGAGTATCAGAACACCATCGGCTTCAATGACTGCATTCAGTCCTGCCGCATTGTCCCTGTGGTAAATATGAAAATGCAGAACATGTGTAGTTCAGCATAGATTCAAAAATGGTTGGTTTAAGTTATCCGAATGAGGTCGAGACAAGGAGACAAAATCTGATCTCCTTCCAAACCCCAACTATCTGAATTACAGCGAGAATGTGAGGTCTTGAGCGGAAGTTGCATTCCAGTCCCTAAAGAGGATAATGTAGAAAGTGCAGCAACTTAACTCCACAAATGCATTTCATTTGATTTGTTGCACACACTCTTGCAGCACAAGGGGCCCTTCAAGATGAGGATCTACGAGAGGTCAAACTTTGAGGGGCAGATGCACGAACTGACCAACGACTGCGACTCCATCCAAGATCATTACCACATGTCCGACACGCAGTCCTGCAACGTGGTGGACGGCCACTGGCTCATGTTCGAGCAGCCCAACTACGAGGGCCGGATGTTGTACCTGAGGCCCGGAGAGTACAGGAACCTCAGGGAGATGAGCAGCGATGACATGAGGTTCAATTCGATCCGACGCATCACCGAATCTTAATGACTCGTTTCGAAACCGAGAAGTTTTGCAAATGATGTGATATTATTCATATTAACAAGTTGTCAAACATAGAAAAAAAAGCCTTGTTTTTACCCTGAAACTGTGATTTTGTGCATCGTTTGCATGTAGTTCAAGTTGCACTGTGCAATCCAGCCACAATGAATTTACCTCTTTTACTGTGCGACGCGCACAATAAACAAATAAAATGATTTGCTGAATTTCTGTGTCAGGAATTTCTGAAGAGTTTACGTCTAAATACACTCACGGGAAACACTAGAAATAAAGTTATTCTCCTAAAACGTGGCACTGATACACATTCACGATGAAGGGGATTTGAGCCAATTTACAGAAAACCCAAATTTGATTATAAATCTTAAAAAGCACGACAATAAAACACACAGAAAATATTATCTCACAGTTCAAATAACTAAAATCTCTGCTCGGCACAAACTGAACACAAATATACGCAGTCTATTGTGAAAATATGCATGAATATACT